GTTTTCGGTGCTCTCTCTGTTCTAGAAGTTGATGACCTCATGCATGTGTCTGTGAAAAGTGTTGCACATGCTGTTTTGTGCTGTGCTTCATAATTTTAACTCGAAATAGAATGGTATCACATTGCTGTTTTGGCATGATCTCATTCTTAGTACACTGTAATTAAACATTTTTCTTTCATGAGCATGAAATTTGTCTCAGCCCTCATTCCCTGCCTTGTTCACCTGAGACCTGTGGACAGTGAGGGGAGGACTTGAGTGACAACTTCAAGGTCAGTTAACCATCAGGACAAGATAGTATTTGTTTCCTGTCCTTGGGGCAGTATTATCACCACAGGCCAGGGCCTATGGTCAGAGTAGAGTTGAAGGATGTGGGCAGACACATGCATACTGGCATGGACCCCATACGGTGGGGGAGGGGAGGGTGGGAGAGATTTGCACATTGTACTGATCTTGGAAATATCGAAAAATAAATTCGGGATAGTCTACTTGTTACACAGCTCTGAGCCTGCTACTGTTTAAACCTCCACTTCCATGCCTCCTTGTCCAGCTTAACACCTAAGTGTTTTTAAACAACAACTGATGCTTTAAGGTTAAATTTAATAAATTAAACAAAATGAAGAATTGTGCTTTTAAAGTTTTCTAAATATTCAGCATTTTAATTTCTTTACTAGTGATTTATATCTTGTTGCTGGGCAGAACTAAGAGTACATACTTCTGATTGGTAGTTGAGTATCACCTTCCTCAAGCCAATCAGATAAGGTAAAATTGTACTGGGAAGGGACTTGCACAAAGTGAAGCAAAGCTGCCGATTTATTTTTCCTGTGTGAAGATCACACAAAGTAAGATTGTGGTTACAGCTGGCTCCCTCTTGGGTATGTTTCAGAAATTACAAGATCTCAAGAAATTAGGGGGAGGAGGCATGCTATTTTATTAATATTATTCCTCATTCATGCTATTTCTAAACATTGAACATTGTGCAAAGGAGCAAAACAGTGTTCTATGTAGACTAGTCCAGTTTTTCTTTTTCTTTTTTGAAGAGATAAAGTAAGCAATACACATGAAATTTTTGCAATACAGATTTAATTCATCTTTTGTGAGCAACGTGCATGTTTTTCTGTGTTAAAGATACAGTCTGCATTTTTGTTAGGTTGCAGTAGGAACTTACATGTAGTACATAAGTTAATTTATAGATGATGAACTAATGCTTAACATAATTTTAAAACATCCAGTAAACAATGCTTAAATAAGTTTTATTTTTGAAGTAAAACCAGTTAATGAAAAATGTGATGAAATAAAATACTAGTATGGTACACAAGGTCATCATATATGTTCCTCCATGTGGCACTTGACAATAAAAATAAGTAATGTTCATTGTTTGCTCCTGCAATTGAATTTTAATAGGTACTTGGAAATGTTCCAGCTAGATTCTAGAAAAGAGTAGAGTTCTTTATTATGTTGCAAGACTGGAATCTGAGGCCCTTTCATCTAGATCAAGAATCCATGGCCAAAGACTGTTGCTAATTACTTTGCAGAGAACACTTCATGCAAGTTGTATCTGTTAGCAAGTTTACAATGAACATTTTATTGTTACATAATTTTCTTGTTTTTCGGATTTGTGTGTTGGGCAAATGCTATTTGTATTTTTAACTAATAGAAATACTGTTCTAGGATACTTAGAAAGAACCACTGCACAGTCATTTTAGATTCGCATATTGCTGTGTTCCAGCAACCTTAGCTCATTCTCTCTTTTCCTCTCCCTGTTGCCAGGCAAAACTCAAAGAACTGCCAGCTGATTGGCTAACATTTCAGCAACTCAAGAGCTGCTCACATGAGTTTATGATTATAGGCTAATCCATAGCAGCTATGCTAATACTGTCCTTTGTTGCCACGGAGTAGTGCTCTCTCTTTAGGGGGAGGAGAGGGAAAGGGGGGGAGGGAAAAACAAGGGGGAGGAGAGGGAAAGGAAAACTATCTAATTGGGAGCCCAGGATCCTGTTAAAGATCCCTTTAAAATCCACTTGTGCACATACTTTATCAAATAGGAATGAAGGGTTACGGTATTATTTATTGATTAATTAGGAAGAAATAAAATAAGCACTGGTGGTGGTGACCCTATCTTATGTGGTGATATGATAAAATATGTACTATTTTAATATGGAAAGAAACAATTATATTTAAGGAGACATCATTTTGGTAGTAGGTATGTGTATTTCCCTTTTCTCAACAATCATTTGCACTTGTACAATACACCTTCCTTTAAAAGAATTTTTAAATCTAACAAGTATTGTTTCTTAGTTCAGCTTATCTATGAGGTGTGAATGAGTGTGTTTGGATGCATAGGATGAAGTTAGGGATCACCTGAATACAGCTGTCTTTGTGGAGCATTGTGAATTGAACTGTCATAGTTCACCTTGGAAAAAATTCATACTCTATAATGCAAGTAGCCTTTTCAGATTCAGCTGCCTATATTTGTTTGAAATGTCCTCAGCTATATTATATACTTAGTCATGTGAATTTAATAATTACAAAATATTCAAACTTCATTTTGAATAGAATTAAATATGGCTGTTCACTGCTGAATAACATAAGTGTGGGCTCCCAGAACCAAGAAAATAAATATACAACCATTTGCTTCTTCAAGAAATGGAAAACTTACAAAAGAGGACCTCTGATTGGCTTTCACAATTATGACAAATTACCTAATGGGTGATCTAATTTTGTGATCTGTTTCCTACGCCTTTGTGTGTAATGATATTCCTTTCATTGCCAACAGAGATCTGTTAAGTGGCTACAGTGTGCACCCTTGTGGAAATGGATAGAAATTGTACTATGAAGTTGGTCTTTACTGCATATGGAATATTTAAGTAGTTTTGCAAAATGGCTTTCATTTATGAAGTCTAATTACACAAATCTTTCATTGGTGGATATGCTGAACATGCATTCAGCTGAGTTTTGGATTCTTAGCAAGATACGTTTTAGACAATTTGCATAAATTCTGACCACTGTTGGCTTGCCAGCTGAGGCTTATTAAAGTTTTAGGTTAAATTACCTGGAAGATGCACTCAATTGCCTATCCTTGGATTTGATAGAAAGATCTAGGATATGGTGAGTAGCTCATAAAACAAAAGTCAATGTAACATTTTGTTAGATGTTTAACTTTTTAATAACATACTTTATAGTATGACTATCATTAAATGTTTGCATCTTATTGAAAACATCTGCTTAATGATAAATATAAATTTAAATAGGGCTGAGGCAGTTAGGTAGCCTCACAGGATGATGTTGATGACAATGGCATTTCATTTATATCCTACCTCTCTTCATCTTACAAGAAAGAGTCATCTATGGCTTTCCTCCTCTCCATTTTATCCGCACAACAGACCTATGAGGTCGGGTAGGCTGAAAGGTAGTGACCTGGCCCAAAGTCACCAAATGGGTTTCATGGCTGAGTGGGGCCTAAAATCCATTTCCCCTGAGTCCCAGTCCAGTGCTCTCAACTACTACACCATACTAGCTCTCATAGATACTTTGCTAGATTCTAAGATTGCTGCCTGGTAGTTTATCCTGAATTCAGTTTAAAAGTTTATGTATTTATTATAAAAACCATTAGCTCATATTGGAATGCAGGGTATAATATCTAGGGTTAGGGAATGTATTATAGTTTTAATATTCATTTGCTGGACAAACTTTAGAATGTTGTTCACAGAAGGGATAAAAATTATCTCCCTCATCCCACAGCTACTCACCATTTAAATTGTAAAGCCAGCTTGAATTGTCAATTTATTTTGGAGGGTCATATATTTGGTTTTAAGAAACCAGGAGTGTAGATGGTTAAAATGCTAAAAATTAAATTCTAGTAACATTTAATCAAGGCTATTTTAAAGGAACACATAATGAAAGTACATTTTAAAATACTTTACATGGCTTTTATCTACTGTAAGAGTTTGCAGATTTTATATATTAAAATGCATACTTTTGTGCATTGATCATTAGTATGCTAATGGTTACAAACTTTTCAGCTGAATCTTGGTTATTTGGAGGTACTGTGTTTCAGGCAAACATTAGATGTACACAAATTTTGTTTGTTTACACCATTGCATACTGGTTGGAAGTGCAAGTCCATGGTGTGTGGAATTCATTATGTTATCTGCAATGCATTCTAATAGTCTGTTCTGGATTTTGCCAGTATTTACTGGCCTGGCAATTTTTTGGTGAGGGAAGTCCCAGGTGGTACATCAAATGGGTGGGGGGTGTTAAAGGTGCCACAGTTACCATCTGAATATCTAAAGCAAGAATGTAACAGCTCCTCAAATCTGTAAACTTAATCTTTAAAGTTAGAGCCTCACCAGGAATTGATGGAACAAATTCCTTCATTGACAGATGGACTATCAAATGGTAATACATTTCTCTGACAGTGATACAAGGCAGAAAATATGCTGCTGCTATATTGTTTCAGAGGAAAATGTTACATTTCTAAAACCTTTTCAAAACATAAGGAATGCCTATAATACTATTCAAATTAAGCAGTTTTTAAGTTTAATTATATTGTAGTAATTCATACAAGTTTTTCTTTCACAGTAGACTACATTTCTTTATAGGGTGTTTTTAGTCTTCATAACTATGTTTTTGTATTAACATTAGAATGTAAACCTTCACACTTTTGAGAGTACATATTTAAGCATAAATTAACTGTAGAATAACTCGTGCTTCAGAGGCCAAAGTATATGGGGATAATAGCTAAGAAAACTGAATTAAAAGCGTCCACAAATATTGCATTCATTTGTCCATTTATTTATTTATTTAAAACTTTTCTATGCCGTCCTTTACGTATGACATCTCAGGACAGCTTACAATCATTTTTAGGTTGCTCTGTTCTGTTTTGTTTTGTTTTTAAATGCTGGGGCTACTTTGGAAAAAAATGGCTACATGGTCTGTACACTGTCTGCAGTAAAGTATTGTGTGTGTGGTTGTATTCCATTTTAAAATACGGCTTTTTACAGGTTCAAGATGGAAAGCAATGAAGAACCTCAAAAAAAGGTGTTTAAGGCCCGGAAAACCATGAGAGCCAGTGACCGACAACAGCTTGAGAGTGTGTATAAGGTGAAAGAGGAGCTTTTGAAGACAACTGATGTCAAGCTGTTAAATGGAAAACATGAAAATGGTGATTCAGATCTCAGTTCCTCTTTACTCAATTCTGACTGCACTGAGGACAAAGAGGTGAATGGCATAGAAGATTTATGCCTAGACTCTGAAGAAGGAAAAATGGACTCTGAGGAAATCACTGAAGTCAAAAGCCCAGATATAGAGAACCAGGGTGGTGACCTGAATTCCAAACTTGAAACTCCTCCTGAGAACATTGTTTCTGAACAGAAAAATGAGGATGCTCACTGCACTTCAGGCCCTGTCTCTGAAAGTCAGGTGCTTAACTGTAATAAAGACAATGACATCCAGGATGAGGTCAATGTAAAAGATAATTTGGATCATAAAATCATCAAAGATGATTTGGATCAGAAAGCTACACTAAAGGAGCCTGAAGAGGAGAGTCAAATAACCAGTAACATTAATAACTGCATAGTAGAACCAGTAGAAACAAAAGAGTTAGCTCTTTCTTCTGATCTGGCTGTAGAAGAAGAAAAGAATACTGAGGAAGCTGTGGTAAAGGAGATGATTGGCGAGGAAACAATATCTAGCAGTTTGGATAGAGATAATTGTCCAAAGGATGAAGATGTCCAGTCTACAGACCTTGTAGATACCAGTGTTCAAAAGGCTATTGAAGGTGAACCAGCTGAAAGCATCTTGGGAAATGCAGGGACCATGGAAACAGATGAAATTATTCCAATTTTAGAAAAGCTGGCCCCAGCAGATGAATTAAACTGTTTTTCCAAATCCATCTTGGTTCCAGTGGAAAATTCCAACTTAGATTCAGAAGATAAAGTTGAAAACTCAGTAAATTCTCCATTGAAACATGAAAGCAGTGAAAATTTGCCAAAAGAAGCATTCTTGGTGCTTTCTGATGAAGAAGAACTCTGTTGTGACAAAGAAGCTGAACTGGTAATTCCAAACCATGCAAGCCCTTCAGGTTAGTGATCTTTTTCTTTTAAAGAAGTAATTCTTCACAATTGGATAGTTTTTTTTTATTATTCTTAGATAATTATAATTATCAAAAAATACATAAAGTAATTTTTGTTATGTAATAATTAACAATAATTAGAGCTATAATATATTATATGCATTTGTACAGATAGGGATGTTGCCATTTTATATAGAATGTAGTCTTCAGGAAAATACTGGTCATGCACTTACTGGAATAATAGGTTATTATGAAATAGGTGCTAATTATGCAAAAGTAGTTAAATAATTATGTAAACTTAACAAATTTAGAATAAATGTTTATTGTATTCAGTGCTTTAATGCTGTAATGTCAAGAAGGTCTAAACATTTTAAAAATAAATGTAATGTAACGAACACAAAATTGTTCATTTTGAACACCGCTGATCAGTTCCTCAAGACTAAAGCCTTCTTTCAGGAGTTTTACAGAGCAAATCTCCAAATTACATGGAAGAAGGTTTACCTTCAGCAAGCACAGCAGGCCTGGCATCTGTGTTAAACTTGTGCGACTATGTGACTTAAACTATGGTAACTACCTGGGCTCCTTGACTTCTGTGCCCTATTTAGAGATCTCTGTAGCTATACCCTGTGAAAAAGATTAATGATGTTGCTGACAATTGGTGGAATGCTTGCATGCAGTCAGGTGACAATATTAGACTAGTCACAGTTTTGCTTCTTCCCTGCTGCACTTGCTATATACACTTCTTTGAACTGTAATGTTTGAGAAAGACCACATCTCAGCAATGTTTTTTCCTTTTATAACTCTAAACTAATAGGCAATCTATGAACTATGTCTAATTTTAAAAATTGTCAAAGTGGGATTTGATTGAATGTTTGGGAAGTACTTCAGGGACAGTGTATAACATAGTTAGACATGCTGAAATTCTGCTTACTATTTCCTCTGTTTGAGATGTTTATTTACCATCCTTCATCCTACTTAGTTTTCAGGCCTTGGACAATATAAATTTAATTCACAACAAAAAAGAACCAGGAAATAAACATTAAAACATTTAAAACAATAAAAGATTAAAATATCACTGTGCCAAAAGTTAGAGATTGACTGCAAATCATGTCAATCTTTCTGATCTTAAGTTACTTCTTCAGTAGTCATGATCACTGCTTCTTTTAAGTTTGGCACATGGCTCTCCCAAGGAATAGTGCTGATAATCATACTTCCAACGGAGTTTTCTTTCTAGATGTACTCAACCAAGAAGGGCAAGAGCTAGTGGGGTGATCATTAGCTGCATCCCTCCAAGAAGTTTTCCTTGGTGTCAAGGAGTAAAAATGGAATTTGATCCAAGCATCTCTGATAGACAGATGCCCTGGATATCAGTTAAAATTATGATCCAATAACAGCATTTAACTTAGATGCACACCAATAAGTTGATCCATTAAGTTGGTTGCTTATTTGATCGAGCTACTCCTGACCTCTTTTTCTGTAGGAAGACTCTCAGAACACCTAATGATGTTCTGTGTAATGTTTCAAATTACAGTAAAATAACAGGTGAGATTAATAGAGCAGCAAAGAAAAAGAAATCTGTGATAAGGCATGAAAGATATATAAACTAAAACAGCCAGATTCTAAAAGCGGAGTCCAATAATATTTTTCAGTTCAGGCTCAATCTTGGTTTCCTATCTTCCTGTCCTCTGAAAGAGAAAAGGGCCTGAAGAAGATGTCATTATACTTTCTGTATAAATGACTTACACAGCCTATCTAATCTGGAAGAGATCAATTTAATGACATTGCGAACACAGTGAGGACAGAAAAGAATACCTGAGCTTCCATCACTACATCTTAAGCCAAATGTACTCCATGGTCTTCAACTGGATTTAGCATAACTATTGCACTAGCTGACTCTAATTAGGGAGAAGTGACCTATGAGCAGTCATATTAGTAAACATTTGTGAAAAATCCACCAAAGTTCTGTACACAGCTGGATCCATGAATTTCTATGGACAGTTCACCTAGAACATTTCAAAAGTGGAGCATCTGTCAAGTATTACTAAGACCTAAACTTGTCCCAGATAAACTGTCAGTAGCACATGTGTTATTCCCATAAACCCAGCAACAGATCATATATTAGCCCAGGGTGCAGAACAATTAACCTAGAACATGCTTTTTCAACCTTGTTGTCACTAGTACACTGGGAACATTTCATGGTTGCCATAGCAACTAAGAAATACTGAGATACACTTCAAAGTACTGCATATAGATGTTGAAATCTCCTGGGATTGCTAGTCTGGGTAAGCCCCCCCCCCCCCCAGTCAAGTTTGAAAGCACATCTGTTAAATTTGTAGAACTGGTTAGGCATTATGTGCTCCTTATATCCAGTGCCACATACATGCAGTCATGATTGTGCTTCATAAGTGATACCTAAAAGCATGAATCCCTATAGACTAGAACAGGGGTAGGCAATCTGGGCACTGGACCCCTAGCCACCGTTCTTGATGCTTACCAAGGTGCCCTACTTCTCCCACTTTAATAGAAAAACAAGTTTTCTTACTGGCACCTGGGGTTGCTGTGAAAAGGAGTTTTTAGTATGTTAGGGCTGAGACCCCATCTCTCCCTTTTACTCAGTCCTTGGGTAGATCATAGAATTATAGAATAGTAGTGTTGGAAGGGTCTATGAAGGTCATTGCCCCCCCCCCCACTGTTGCAAGACACCAGTTTACACCATCTCACTCAGATGGCTGTCCAGTTTCTTTTTGAATGTCTCTAGTGTGGGAGAGCCCACCACTTCTCTAAGCAGCTGTTTCCTCTGTTGTATTGCCCTGACAGTGAGGAAGCTTTTCCTGATATCTAGCCTGAATCTGGTTTGTCACAGCTTGAATTGGTTTTTTCTGTGTCCTAAACTCTGGTATCAGGAAGAAGAGATCTTGACCTTCCTTCTTTGTAACAGTCTTTGAGGTACATATAGAGCCCATGTTCCCCCTCAGTCTTCTCTCGTCAATGCTGAACATACCCAGTTTTCTCAGTCTCTCCTCATAGGACATTGTTTCCAAACCATGGATCATTTCTCCCAGTTTTCTCAGTCTCTCCTCATAGGACAGTGTTTCCAAACCATGGATCATTTCTGTTGCCCTTCTCTGGACCCTTTCTAATTTTCCTGCATCTTTCTTAAATCTTAAATAATTTGCTCCAGAATATTTTTGGGGATTGTTGTCTGACTAACTAGTCTATAGCTCCCAGGTTCATCTTTTTCTCCTTTTTGAAGATAGGGACATTAGCCCTTCTCTAGTCATTTGGCACTTCTGTTTTCCAAGATTTATTGAAGATAATAGCCAGTGGTTCTGAGAGTTCCTCAGCTAGCTCTTTTATGACTCTGGGATGGAGTGCTTTGGGCCCTGGAGATTTGAACACGTTAATTCCATCTAGGTATTCCTTGACCATTTGTCTGTTCATCTTGGGCTGCCATCTCTCACTTTCAGTTTGTACTTCGTCTTGGTTGTAGATTTTCTTGTGGGAGAAGACTGAGGCGAAGTAGGAATTGAGTCTCTGCCTTTTCTTTGTCGCCTGTTATATGTAGCTATCATCTGTAGCTGGACACCCTTCTCTTTCTCATGTCTTTTGTTCTGGATGTATCTGAAGAAGGCTTTCTTGTTGTTCTTCGCATCCCTTGCTATTCTCAATTTATTTCCTGCTTTAGCTTTCCTGATGCTGTCCCTGCAATTCCTTGCTATGTGTTTATATTCTTCCTTCGTGGCCTGGCCTTGCTTCCACTTCCCGTACATGTTTTTTCTTCCAGGTTTTCGCTTTTTGTGGCACCACATGAGCTTCCTCTGCTGTCTTCTACACTTTTTCCCTGATGGAATTGTTTATAGCTGTGCTTCAGGAAACTTATTTTTCAAGATTTCTCATTCCTCCTGGACTCATTTTCCCTTAATAGTGTTTTGTCATGGCACTTCACTTATAATTTTTTCTGAGTTTGTTAAAGTTGGCTTTTTTGAAGTTCAGGATGCATGTTTGGTTCCAATTACCCTTTGTCTCCTTTATAATTGAGAATTCAAGTATTACATGGTCACTTTCCCCTGGAGTTGGGCCATCCCTATTAGATTATTTGTCTTTACCACACCTCTCATTGTGGCCTTTTTGTGGTGATGCCCAGGACAGTTACTTGGATTTCTAGATTACCTTCCCCTAGATGGCAGCAATACTCTAATCCTTTTAATTAGGCTGTTGCTGGAGTCAACTCACTAAGTGACGGTTAGGGAGGCCACTAATACTGATCACAGTTCATAGGTCACAGTTGGTCATAGTTTGCAAACTGCATGGAACTGTCAGGAAACAGCAGGATGAGCACTTCAAGAGGTCACTATTTCAATTTCTGTGGCTGTCCTTTTGCACCAGAGATGAATCAAATATTTGATGGCAGTCACTGAACAGGGCACATACCGCCTCAGTATTTTAAAAATCTGCATCACTAGGTCAGTTTCTGACAGCAAACCAATCTAATTGGTTCACAGAACTTCATGAGACAGGAGCTATAGCTATTGATTGACTAGTTTGCAGAATGGTGAAAGATGGTAGTATTTGCTACCAGAGCACGTCTTTCAAGTTTAGTCCCTCTTTTTATTATGGTTAATTTCTGTCTTGCCTATCAATAGAAATGTTCTCAGGCAGCTCATAATAACCAAAATATGATCAATACAACAGTGTGAAACAAAACCCTGGACACAGATACTAAGACAGTCTGATAAAATAAGTTGGGTAGCAATATAATTTATCAGCAGTTAAACATATTATGTAGGAGGTACCAAGCAGCAATATGTAACTACCGTCAATTTCTGACCTTCCTCTATTAGGTTATAGTTGTAGAGTTTTCAAAAACTACAAACCAGCTGATGGTCAGTATTTGCATGCTGCTGATGGGCCACTTGAAGGGAGTAGTATACTCCCTTTGGTGTCTTTCCTGTTGCCAGTGTCTGGCTCAAGTAATATCTCTTTCCCCAGATGTGTCAACTTACCAAGTA